TATGCGCCATATAAGTGGGCGCACTAAGGGTGTGGGTTCTGCTAGGACCCAACCATGAGTTAGAATTAACAGAATGAGATAATATGATTTAAGTCCTTTGAAAGATGAGTAGAACAACCGAGTGTATGAGTAGTAGCAGGGCCGTTCCTAGCGGGGGGACAAGATTATGGACTGCATGTTGGCGGCAAAATTTAAAGGCTGCGAAATGATTATCAAACAACGCAGGAAAAATAAGGGCTTGAGCCAAATCTAACAAAAACTTTGCGTAAACAATACCCTAACTGGTTTGCTCGCACACAGTAGGCCTAACTACACGCTATTGCGATATCATCAGCGCGTTCTATCGGCAAGCAATAGCAAAGCTCTTATCACAAGGGAATAAATCGGGAAAATTGGTTTTCTTCTATTACTCTCCTTGTTTATTTTAATTGAAAACAAAGACAGTCACATTAAGGGTAATAGAGAGATTTGTAAAATATTCTGTAATTTTTCATCAACCTTTATAACTAAAACAAACCAGGCACCTTCATTCTTCACTGTATTTAGACACCACGGTAATTGGGCATAATGTCTCGCCTCTAATCAAATAATCTTACATTCAATAAGGAATTCGAAACTTTTAACTGCAAAAAATAATTGTATGTTTATATGCAAAACGAAAGAAGAATGTTCAGAAGTTAAAAGTTTTTGTTGAACGAAGTCTTTTAGAATTAGAGTCAGTAGTGTTAAAAGTCACAAATTGTTGAAAAAGAACACGGATGCAGGAAAGTAGAACGTATTGGTGCCAGAAAAAGAATGAATAAAATGAACATCAGAAGGTACAGTACAGACGTTATGTAAACAATATAATGTACATAACCGATTTACACTATAATAATTTCATCAGAATTAGTAGACTTATTTAGCAGCGTTAAAAATGTCTTCAGAAATAGCAAATGCAATAATTTGTCGATTGTATTTTTCGTAGTCTTTATTTCAGGAACACGGTCTAATTTGCTACTTCTATTATGATTGCTGGAAAGAGAAATGGAACATTTCGGGAAAAAGAATAGCTTATTGGTACTGTTCGGTTTTGAGGGTCGTAAAAAATCGCCAAACTATTGTTGATTTCAGTGCTGCCAAAAATAATTGCGGCAACCCTAATGCCAAAAAGGAAGTATTATAATAATAAATAACTATCTAAGATTGATGTTTTAATTTAGATGAAAGGTTAATTTCATATAATACTTTTTTATTATTATAATTTATATAAAAAAGTCTAAACATGACTGAATGGAAGCATAAGAGTAAATAACTATTTCAGATCATTATTATAATTTATATAAAAATTGCTAAACATAACTGAATGGATGCCTGCATCGCCATTTCGCTACCGACTTATCGCTAAAACATAATTTCATCTCGTTGGTTGTTCAAACATAATTTTCTATAATAAATAATGCCTTTTCTTTGAAAATATTCTCGGTAAAGTGCAGAATCGCTCACGTATTTGTTTGCCGCTTTTTACAAGAGTAAAAACAATTGAAATTTTGTCAATTTTCTTTTACGTTTTAAGTGAAAATAAGTCGATGTGTACATAAATAAAGTCAAGGGTGTGCGCAGTGCCATTTTTGTGCAATTCTAGAATTTACAGAGTATGTGCAATTCTTAAAAACGCGTCAAGCAGTGGGTGATTCTGGACTTTACCCAAAATTCTATTGGCGACTTTTCGTCATGGGCAATTCCCAAATTGTTAAATCCTTAAGATATCAAAAAAGGATTTTAAATCAAAAAAGGATTTAAAAATTAAACTAGTATGTCAATGGCGTCTTAAGAAATATAGAACTATATAAACTTAACGCAATCTGAAATCAACGCGTACGCTAGATTTGGCGCGCTGTTAAATGGGCGCGTTTACTAGATTTGGCGCTTTTGCGCATACATTTTCGCTGCAATTTTTTACGGCTCTCAAAACCGAAATTTTAGTTTGATGTTTCTAACTATATATTTTGTTTCAATCTATGTTTTTAAATTTTTGTTTCAATTTTTAAATCTATTTTTGTTTGTCTGTGTTCTGCTATGAGGCCGATTATTAACGGCCAGGAGGGTTGCAGCACAATAGTAGATTACATTACATAATTCATACTTGCATTAGCATTTACATTGGGTGCTTGATATTTAGGTAATTTAATATACCCTCGAAAATTTATCCCTGTATAATATTTTCGAGACAAAATTTTCTGTTCTGTGCTTACCGGCATATTTAATGCACCGAGGCTTTAAATTACACACTTCCGAAACGTAGTTAAAGTACTGTAAATTATGGTACTGGACCACTTCATCTCTCACTCTGTAGGAGACTACTGAAACACTAAAATATAAGAATTTAGTAACTTCATACATAAGTTCGTTACCAAGAACAAACTATAACTGTATTTGGTACAAATACTGTTTTTTTTTTTTTTTTTTTTTTTTTTTTATTGGATTTCAGTCCGAACATTTGTACTACCTTCTTTATTGTAACCCTAAAAAATTCTCCTCCTCGATTTCCTCTTCAGGTATGCGCCTGGTTAAACCCCTACTTTTCTCACTTTAAATGGACATTCGAATTTCTACTTTACATTGTAATGATCTACCTGCTTGCTTATACGATATTTAAAAATTACTCTGTGATTAGTTTTCATCTTAGGAAATATTTCCAGAAATTCACACCAGAAAAAGAAAAAATGCAGAGCAAATTTGCATCAGTATCCTGTGTAAGAATTTTTAAAAAACTCCAAGAATTTAACATTGGGCTTGACCACTATAGGTTTTATTTTAGTGCCTTAGATATCAGTAACACTTGTTGGTGTCATACGTAGGTGTTCATAACACACTTATCATTGACAGCATTTATACTTTAATCACAAGCTTTAGATAATTCCTGAAACTTATTTAGACTCCAGACGTTTACTTATCCGCATTTTTCGACAAAAAAAAGAAAACCATGAGCAGACAGCATCATTTACGCGTTTATACGATTTATTAGGACATTTTCTAATTTTGCGAGTACTAGGTTCGCTACGGCACTTAGAAGAATTCATTACGCAACCAGCGACACTTTCAAAATTACTAATAGCCGAGACATTATCAAAATTAACATTGGTACAGTCAAAGCTAATACAGCTACAAGAATCGTAATTTTTAGAGCATTATATTAGGAATTATTTGAATCGCTGTCGGTACCAAATTATTTTCACTTACCTTGCACTAGATCGATCATCACCCGAAATCTTTCACACTGAGATTCACAAAAAGTTCACGTTATTATTACGGAACACCTTTGCAAAGTTTTGGCATATCAACCAGTTTCGACAACAGTTTATCCCTTAGTCCAGGCAGAAGCACTAATTGAGAAACGCCGTAAGTCTTTCATGAATGAGTCCTTACAGCTTGCACCAAAATTTGAAGTCTCCAGATTGAAATCATAACTTTAAGCCACATAATCGAGTTTAGGCCTCGCGCTGTCTATTCTTTCCATAGCAGGAAGCGGGGAAGTGAATTCTCGTTCATTTCACTATTCGATAAACAAAATCACAAAACTCCGAAATCACAGAAGTACTAGAGAACTAACGTATCAAGTTTGGCAGACGAATAACGATCTTTCCTCGGATCACAGCCGAGCACTGGCATATGTGGGACAACATAAAGGGGATACTATCAATATCCACAAAATTAATGGTAAAAGTTCGAAAACGAAATTAAAAATCACCACCTCCCAATGCGATGAAAAATATTGGTCATGCAAACAACAACTTAAATAATAGTATCCAGAACGCATATAACACTCGCAGTCTGAAAGTCAATCAAACGCACGCACAGATTGCCGCATTTTATAAGTAAGAACTATTAAACCAACAGTTAAGCTTCTCCGCGAATGAAAAAAATTCACAGTGAAAGAACAGCCGATCATATAATGGCTCTTGCTTATCAAACCAACTGATCCATAGTGCTTTTACTACTTAGTTTGATATTGCGTCTTTGCGAATGTATGGATTCTGGAAAAATACCAGCATCGACACCTACCAGTCTCCAGATCTACCCGTTCTTCGAGTTTTAGAAGCAAACCGCTTCTATCTGTTTGTTCTTCCCCCGTCAGGTACTTATCGCTTTTGGAGAATATTCTTCACGGTTGTATCACAAGCCAGGCCCCTAATGGAACTCTTTTATAGGCATCACTATCACCTGCTGCAAGCCAGTATACGACCAAACATCAAAGACCAACCGAACTGAAATGAGTTCATATGGTACGAAACCGCTTACTCGTGTTACAACAAACGCATTGGCGAATAACGTTGTCGCCAACAGAAACTGCTGAAAGTCTCCTAACTTATTTCCTAAAACCCATGGAAATAACTTATTTCCTAAAGCCCTATCACAGTTCAGAATTTTCAATTTAATATGACCTCGTCACATCTACTGACAGTAGGCAAGAATCAATACAAAATTAATATATAGATACAGGGTTAGAAAAACGTCGCAAAGTAAAAACAAACCAAAAGTCATAGCGGCGCTTTTCATAGAAAAGAAAGAGACAGTAAGGGAGCTAAAAAAAGAAACTTTATGGTTTAAAACTCTTGAACGATTTATAACAAAAGCATAATGTTCTACTCTCACTGATAGTCAACTCTAACAATCTGACCATGTGCAAGATGGTCAACCCGACAGCCAGGGCAGAGCCAGGTGTTTTCTTTTTTTTTTTTTTTTTTTTTTTTTTTCACTTTGCGATTTTATAGCATCATTTTGAAGAGTTTCATTCTTTGAAAAATGTAGTTGTGGCAACAGTTTTTCATTCAATGCTTTGTATACAAATATGAGATAAAATGCTGCTTTTTTTTCTTTTGATTTTTGGACGCGCAACACCCACATCGCAATCTTCTTATTCTGACGCGCATGCGTCTCGCGAGGCACAACAGAAAAAATTTCTTTTTTTTTTTTTCTTTTTTTTTCTTTTTTTTTCCTCTCTCTCTCTCTCTATATATATATATTTATTAACTAATGGCAAAAAAATTTGTATATTTTGAATTATGTTATCCACAAAGCACAATTTTGATTGGTTATTGTTTTCTGATGATAGTTTCATTCTTTCAGAAATGTGGATTTGGCAAAAGTTTTTCATTCATTGCTTTGAATACTACATTCCTGACTGTTTTCTCTTGAAAATATAAGATTTATTGCTTATTCACTGCAATAAATCTCATATTTAATTTAATTTTACATTGTAATTTTTTTATATTACGTTTAGATTATTTAAATTATTTTTCATGTTTTTTTAGGAAACAAAGTTCTTAACTTCCTTTATACCAGTTGAATTCTTAAGATTTTGCAAGGGAAGTTGGTTTTATTTATTAGGATAATTAATATTTGTATTAAGATATCGCTTATAATTTTTTTTTTTTTTTTTTTTTTTTTTTTTTTTAAATTTGGATATTTTTTAGTCGGAAGGCTTTTTTCCCTAGTATAGTTTCGTTTTGGCATTTTGCGTTGGACTATAAATGTCCGTTTCACTTTTCAAACTGTTGCCACCAAATGTTAGAGTCCTGCATTATATTTAAAGAAATTAAATAATGAAAAATCTGTATAAATGTATGTATATTTCTCGCATTGTGATAAAACAACGGTACATAGAGTCATCGAATTTTGAATAACGTAATCCTACCAACGAATATGAGCCATGTGGAAGACCAAATTTGAAATTTGGAATTTGTTTTATGATCGATTTCCATATTTTTTAAACTTTGACGAATTTTTGATTAATGAACTCAAGAATTTCAAAGCGAGCAATGGCAACATTGTTAATAAAAAACATTTTTAACTCCAACGCGCGAGACTCTGTATCGGAAATTCTAAAGATATGCTCAGTTTAAAATTATTTTGCGATATTGCTTGAACTGAATTTTATGGTTTAAGTGCGAAGAACGTGATAGTTAATAAATAAAGGAAATACATAAAATGTTAAATAAACGCCCCTTTGGACGTAATTTAAAATCTGAAACTATTCAGATTTATTATATGTATATACTTTTTCTGATAATATTCATTTTATTTATTTATGTATTGTTAACGTTGTTCTGCAGAATAACATTCTGCGCAATTTTTAAATTTAACATTTTATCTCCCCTTTAGGCATTTTTCGGTACATTTAAAAGCCAGACGAAGGCTGCCCGCGTAGTGGTTACTATTAACTATAAAAAATGGTGGAGTTCATTTAAAGAAAGTTTCGCGAAAGAATAAGCAATACGATATCTGGAAATAAGATGCCTCCGTGGACAATCTAGCACCGACAAAGCAAAAACGGCCAAATATTAAATAAATAGCCAATCACTCAATCACCATTCTTCTTTGATCGGCATCATCAATCACTTCGAAAATGCTCCTCTATCGCTTTATTCCATCCCCCCAACTTCTGTCTGCAAGTGGATGATCAGACTCACGCTACCATATATCTATGCTGCATGACAGTTATATCTACGCCCTAGTAATACAAACCCTGCCTAGCGTAATTAATTTCTCCTAACCGACTTATTAAGTCTTCCTATTGCCGCTCTTCTCCTAATTAGTTTAGCTACCGCTCTCGACGAGAAAGCAAAGTATGGCAGGGTAAGCTGAATAGAAATAAGAACAGGGAAGGTGAGGGTGGTTCGCTCTTTGTGCAGTGTTTTTATAATGTAAGGTATTATTTTTTGATTAGATTTCACACCAGAGTAAAGATCCAAGGAAAAAAGTTCAGAAGAGCAGGGTTTTTTTTTTTTTTTCCCTAAAACCTTCCCTTTATCGATAAGATATTTTTTAATTTCCTCGCGAGGTATTTCATAGCATCTATATTTTTTATTATTTTACATGATTTGATTATTTGTATTAGGCAACGTAGACGATAGGTTTTCATCGATCAGTTCTTGCTCTGCTTTCTCGATGAAGAGCTAAATGATTCTTTTTCGCTCCTTCTTTCTTTATTACTATCCAGAAAAGAATTTTTTTCCTCCTAAGTCTTCCTTTTTTCCTCCGATTTCTTCAAAAACCTCACGTTAAGCCCTAAGTCATCAGAGCTCCTAATACTATCGGATTGAAGAGAACTCGGCTTTTGAAATTAAAAACAAAGAAGTGGTATTTTGTATGTCATGTTTACACGAAAGGGACTTTTATTTATGTGCTCCACTGGATTAGTTTCCTGTTTTGTATAATTTTAAGCTTTTGTTTTAAACTAATTCAAATAAATTCGAAACAAATTAGTGTGTTTTTGTGTCTAAGCCATCTACGTGTCATTTAAAACTTCCTTACATTTTTTTCTCATGGTATTACGTACTTCATTCATTTAGGCTAAAGTGTGGCCTTGCAAAAATATGTGGCCTCGCAAATTGCTAGCTTTGACAATTTTTGCCGTTCTATAAGAATAAGATTCTTAATTTGTCTTTCAAATTATATCATTGCATTACTTAGCAATGCTCTGCACAAATTAAAACGATAGGTACAATTCTGAATAAC